TCCACTTTCTAGAGGAGGACTACAAGGGACAGAGCTGCCATCTCTTTCCCCAGTACCCACAGCCAGTCAGTAGCAGAACAGGGAGGGATTCAGAGCCCGGATGTACTTCTAACCCCATGCACGTTGTCTCCGAGATCTTGCTCCTGGCTGGGGATGGTGCTGTAACACTGGGGTTTCAGAAACTCGGTGGGGAAACTCCATGATTTTTTAATTCCATCTTCCCACAAACTTTACCAAGCCCCTCCTCCCTTTCATCTAATATATGACACCTTTTCCCACATTTTAACGTCTTTGAAGTTGGGGTACATCTTATATGTAACGGCAATTATGGGAAAACCTTCCAGTTTCCATTGTCAGCCTCAGTAAGACTTAAAAAAAGAGCGGGGAGGGCCTGCATCAATACAATGCAATTTACGGTATATAAGATGAATGATAATACAAATAAAAGCAGGAAGTTCAGCCATGTATAGAACTCTAGTGGGGAATGAGAGACCCAAGGGGGGAAAGCCTCTTTAAATTCAAGAACCGAAATCATGTGAGAAAGGAGAACAACAGAAACCTGGGTGAAGGGAGACCGTGGTCGGTGTAAGATATGGAAATAATTAATAATAATTTATCATTTATCAAGGGCAAAAATGAAGAGCTGATACCAAGGGCAAAAAAAGAGAGAGAGAGAGAAAGAGTAACCAAGAGACTCCGGTTCTGGGAGGAGGCGAGATTGTGTGTTCATGGTACATGTGTGTGTGTGTGAGTATGTATATCTGTGTACACACACACAATGCACACCCTCTCTCTCGCTGGCTGCCTATCTGTGTGACACTGCACTCCCTACCCTGACCCAGGAGAGCCATAGTCTGGTTGTGTTCTGGACCCTGGAGTAAGTCCCGTGGCCCTCCCAGACAATCACTTCTCTGGCAGAGCCCTGCTGCTGCGCTTCGCTCTTCCACGGTCCAGCCACATCCCCAGCGCTCAGCCCTTCTCAGTGACCCCTTGGTTCATCCGCGTACCAATGGCCACGAAGGCGTCCCGCACGTCCCCGGACATCTCCTTCTTGATGGTGTGCTCCACGTCGTAGTTGGTCTTCTTGATGAACTCCTGGAAGACTGGCCCAGAGAAGCCCCAGATTTGGGGCGTGAGTTCCTGCTCACGGGGAGGAGAAAGAGCACTTCCCCCATACCCCAACCTTTGGGCCAGGCCTAAATACAGTGAGTGGGACCAGGTGAGAGGCAAGTTCTGACTCCTGTGCTGCTCCGGGCTCAGGGCCCAATCTGAGGCCTCCCACCAACCCGCACCCAGCCTGGCCAGTGGCCTCTGAGCATGGACAAGCTCTAGGAAGCCCAGCTGGGGTGGAAGGAGCACGGGTCCTAGTCCTGGTTCTGCCTCTGGCTTGCTGGTTGAAGCCCTACCCCTACCTAAGCCTGTTCCTCCCTCTCTGTCCCATGGGGATTGAGGTTACTGTGGACTACCATCAGGGCAACACGGAGCACGGAGGAAGCACTCACTACAGGTCAGACAGCGTGCTAAGTGGCAGTGTGTGGTTCAAAACACATGTATGCAGTCCTGATGCCGCCCCCCACCCCCCACCCCCATCGCCTTGTTGCTGGCAGACAGAACCACAGCCTTCTCCTTCCTCTCCAGCGGGGCTTCCTCGGGCCACGCCATCATTGCAGGCCGCCACGCTCAGCACGCCTGCATTGGCTGTTAAGGTGACGATGGCTGGCACAGGCCGTGCGACGAGTGAGAAGCTGAGCCAGGACTCAAACCCAGGGTCCCTAGACCTCCATGGCTGGGTAAGGGGTGGGTGGGTGGACACTTGGCCGGGCGAGTGAAGGGGCAGGCCTCACCTCTCCGCAGGTGCGGGTAGCTGCGGGTGCACAAGATGGTCATGAAGCGCGTCTCCAGGGAAGCTTTGTCCCCACTGGACGTGTCTGCGATTTCCTGCAGGCCGAGTTGGGACAAGGATGTTTGCAGGAAGACACAGCGAGTCAGATTACTCACGCTAATACTTTTGCCTGGGCTAACATGGGTCCCTTCTCCGTCTCCCCATTTCCTGTCTCTGCTCCCAGGGCCCTGTGCACTGACAGTCGAGCTGGGCACCAGGCACTTCCACCTTGACCTCAGGCCCCACAGGCACTGGGCGTGAGCCTCGCAGTGCTCCCCCAACCTCAAACTTGCTGAAGGCCCCCGGGAGTGTGTGTGTGTGTGTGTGTGTGTGTGTGCGTGCGCATGCACCCGTGGAAGGAAAGAGACTCAGCCAATGCCTCCCCATGGGTGGCAGAGGCAGTCACACCTTCCCTTAACACACTATATAGACAAGGGGGCTTCAGGAAGTCCCAGCGAAGAGTCTATTGCTTTCTGATCCCCATTTTCCCATGAACCTTTCCCTAGTCCAAGGTCCATGCCACCACTACCCTCCAACCCGCGATGACCCCTTATGTATTTCCCTTAAGGAGCCCTGGTGGCACAGTGGTTAGGGGTGGGGCTCCTAACTGCAAGGTCAACAGTTTGAAACCAGCAGCTGCTCCTGGGGAGAAAGGCTTGCTACTCGCATTAAAAGTTATAGTCAGGGCAGTTCCACCCTGTCCTCGGGGGTCACGATGAGTGGGGTGGCAGCGTGTCAACTTTCCCTTTAGAACACACTCACTTTAATCTAAATAAGAAAGTGCGCCGTTTAAAGGGAAATATTAAGTAGCTGGTCGTCTGCAGCAGGATCATGCACGTTGTCTCCGAGATCTTGCTCCTGGCTGGGGATGGTGCTGTAACACTGGGGTTTCAGAAACTCGGTGGGGAAACTCCATGATTTTTTAATTCCATCTTCCCACAAACATGTCTTACCCAGCAGGGTCCTTACAGGGCCTGGGGGGGCGGACGACAGAGCTCGCCCAGCAAGCCCTTCACTGCCTGACTCTGGCCCCTCACCCAGAGGCCCCGCCTAGCCTTCCTGCAGAAGGAGGGGGCGTTATAATCCACAGAAGACACGGACACTCACCAAGATCTCAGCAGCCACCTGAGAGCAGGGCGGAGAGGGGAGGAGAGAGGGGGGAAAGGCAAGAGTCAGAGGAGCCTGGCCAAAGGGGCTGTTGGGGCCCAGGGTGCCTTGCTGAGAGTCCCTGAGAAAACTTGAGGCCACAAGGAGGGAGGGCAGGAAAGAGGGGACACACCATCCGATATTTGGGACCAGTGGTATTTGGATCCTGGGAGGGCGTTCACTGGAGAGGATGGAGGGGCAGCCAGAGGTAGGCACTCCACCCCTCACTCCAGGTGGCCTCGGTCAGGCTCTGGACCTGTCAACCAGGAGAGTCCACCCTGCCTCCTCACCTCCCTACAGGGCTACAAGTGCAAAATGTCCAAGGGTCCTCACAGACTGCCGTCTGACCCCTGTGCCAGAGAGGCGTGCTGAGGCCAGAGGGGAGTGACCACAGCCACGCTAGGTGGTCTCTAAGGGTCCGCCTTAATTGCTGCACTCTGGGGAATGAAGTGATGTTCTGCCAGGATGGTCCCTGGGAGGTCAGCAGCGTGGCTGGGGAGCAGGTCCCCCAGGCCGAGTTTTGGCATTGTCATTTTCTTCCTGAATCTTCCTCTGCGGACCACTCTCTTCTCCCCGACAGACCGACCCCGTCCCTTGGCACCTACCCTGACGACCTTCTGGCTTGGGAACCCTTCTGTGCCTTCCGGCCTCTGGCAATATCTATCAAAAGTGCCAGCGCCCCAGCCTGTTGCACAGTGCCAGCAATTCGACTGCCAAGAACATGCCCTGGAGGTACACTGGCAAACATGTTCCCCAAAAAGCAGTTCACTGAGGCATTGCGTGACATAGCAAAACGTTGGAAACCCCCACTGGTAGATCCGTGGTAAACAAGTTACCTCCCAATCAACAGAGAACCACGCCACTGTTAACAACACCTGAGCCTGGTCTACAAGCGGAGACGATTTCTGTTCACGTGCCATGAAGCAGAATATATTGCACGGAGTCAAGCCCAGCCAATTGCCTTTGGGTCGATGCTGACTCATGCTGACCGCGTGTTTCTGAGTAGAGCTTGGGCCCGTAGGCTTCTGTCTGGATAGAAACATGGGTGAACACAGACTCGCTCACGTGTGTGAGGAACGCCTCTCTGGGGAGCTAGTCCAGAAACTGTTGACAATAACCTCTGAGGGCAGAGGCTGTGATCAAAAATGGTTTGCATTTTATTACGTTCCTAAAATGTTGTTTATATTTCTCAATGTGCAAATAGGCCATTTTAGTTTTGTTTTTTAGTGCTACTGTCAAAAAACGTGCTTTCAGAGCTACTAGAATTTAGGTAGTTTGGGGCTTTTATTTATTCTCTCTATGTTAACAGCAAACTAATATTATTTTTTTAAGTAGGAGGAGAATGCTTTAAGAAAACGTAAGACAGACACAATGCTTTGGGGGTGGGGGTGGGGGGTGGGCAGACACTGGTCTTCAGTCAAGAAAAACTCAGGCGTGGCCAGTGGCGATGGCTGAATAACGCAATGAACACATGTGGGTGAACTGTACCCACGAACAGTGCTGAAATGGCAAATGTTTTGTGACCAAAATATTTAGCATTCCCCCCCCCCCAAAAAAAAAACCTGTTGGTATTTGAAATACCGGTGGCAGCGCTTCCAGCATCGTGGCAACATGCAAGCCAGAGCAGTGTGGCAAACTGGCAGACCAGTACACTCAAAATCCAAACTCGCTGTCCCCCAGTCGATTTCAATTTACAGGGACCCTACAGGACAGGGCAGAACTGGCCCCTGTGGGACTGTAATTCTCTAGAGGCGACTGAGACTGTAATTCTCTATAGGAGAAGACAGCCTCCTCGTCTTCCTGCAGAGAGGCTGGTGGTTTCGAACTGCTGGCCTTGCAGGTAGCTACCCACTGCTTAACCCACTATGCCGTGAGGACTCTTAATGGATGCGTAGTGGATCTATACCTCACCAGTGTCCCTATGACTTGGGTCTCAAACTGGAACAGTCAAAGCGACGAGAGAAGCTACTGACAGTTACTCTAGGGCACTAAGTGAAAGCCCGGGCAATGGGGTGCCATCTGGGCAATGCGTAGTAATAGCACCGGGCTCCCAGGACCTCGAGCGTGTCCTAGATGTTCAGGGCGAGGCTTTGTGTGCAAGAAGACGCAAGCACAGCTTCGTACTGCTTTTCTAAGGGGGCAACTTGACTCTGCCCATCAGATACACTCGAGACCTGTATCCACTTAACCCGGCGTTCATTCCTTTTCTACCTCTAGAAATCTAGTCTGAGGAAACAGAGCTGGCTGCGCAGCAGAGGGCTGGTTACATAGACTACGGGAGTTCATAGAGGGATGAGTACACAGTCATTAAATGGTGTGCTGGGGGCTTAAGTGGAGAGGAAATGTTTTGAGAATGATGAGGGCAATGAATGTACAAATGCGCTTTACACAATTGATGTGTGTATGGATTGTGATAAGAGTTGTATGAGCCCCTAATAAAATGAAAAAAAATACGCGAGATTCACAGATTAATCTAAAAAATATTATCATTCTGGAGTCTTTTTATATGGACAGAGAAAAATAACTCGGAGGGTAGGTACTAAAATATTAACCACAGTGTCTACTAGAAGGTTCTGAATTTGGGGGGGTTGGGGGATCCTCTCAATTTTCTGAGGTTTTTGTATCAGAATGTTATTACATATATGATTAACTATTCTGAGAATAAAATTTCTGGAAATGTGAAAAAAGAGAAAAATATGAAGTGATACCTGACAAAAAACAATAAAACTGCTATTTGGGAGACTGAAAAAAAAAAGAATGTAATTACATGTGAAACGTACTTTTAGTCTTAAGAGGATGAATCCATACCAGATCCACTCTCCTCACTCCTATGGAGGCAGGGAAGCATCTGAGCCAGACAGGGCTCTGAGTCATGAGACTCGATAGTTCTACCCCAGTGGTCCGCCCCCCTCCTCCCCCGCTGGCCAAGCTGCTGTCTTGTGACTTGCCGATGCCCCTCTAGCAGAAACTGGAAGCACAGACCAGTCACCTAGCTGACGCAGTCCCCCATAAACTGAATTTGGGAGTGGAGGGCATATTGGGATGAGATTGAAGGAGGAATCCTGACCCTCAATCGCATGAAAGAATGGTGCCCCCTGGTGGCGGAACTCCCAGGCTAGGCCACAGAGCAGGTAAAATCCCATCCACCTGAATGGAAGGAAGCCTGCAGCTTATGATCACCTCGCCCCAAGCACCACAACCACGGCCTTTGGGAGCCAGGAGGAATTAGTCTACTCGATCGTGCAGGCATTAAAGGTACTCCAGAGGCGTTGAGTCACATCACCCACCCACTGCCACTTTCAAACTGTTTCTAACCTCCGGTAGGTTATGAATATCATTTGGCTCCAGTTTAAAAAAAAGAGGGGTGGTGGTGGTGGCGTGGAGGGGAGCACAGTAAGAATACAATGGCCTTGGCACAATACTCAGCTCATAGTCCATATCCTGATCACTTCCTGTCAGGCTGTAGGGACTATTTCTTCTCAGAGGCTGTCCTAGTTTACACCGGTGTTGGCGGAGTTTGGGACAGAAGCTAGTGCCTGGCTCCAAGCCACAGATGCAACTTTGAACCCACCAGCTGTCGTTAGACACGGGGGCTGGATCTGTAGTCCATGACGTGTGTCTGCAGCCCTTAGACACACAGCTTTGGTGGGTGGGGACGGACAGGTAGAGCAAGTGGGGGTTCTGGGAGCCAGGTGTGGGTCATTGCAGATGCGCTCAGAAGGGACCGCCAGGGAAAGGGGACTGGGGCGGTCCCGTCTCCGTGAGCATCCATCCCGAGACCTTGAGACCCTAAGGGCAGGGTCACAGCACATTTGCCAGAAGACCTGGGGGCGGGGTACTCCGCTGTCATTCAACCACAAATATTTCAGAGTACTGGTTACATGCCACCTGGACACATCGGCGAGCACAATAAAGAACCCTGCCCTCTAGGAGCCCAGGCACCTCCCAGGACACTCTCGTCACTGTGGTCCCAATTTAGAGAGAACTCAACCAAGACTATAGCACTAAGGCTCGGCTCCCAGTCAGTGCCCAGCCCAGACTCCTCTGTCAATGTCACCTGGGCTGCTCGTTAGCTGTGTGGTATTTCAGAAGTCATCTACCCTCTCTGGACCTCAGTTTCCCCAGTGAAATAGGAGGGGCTTGAAGAAGAAACCCCCTGCGGGGGCAGTTCTAGGCCTTCCTCTGGAGTCGCTGTGAGTCAGAGTCAACCGGATGGCAGTGCCTTTGTTTATGTTGTTTCTCACTTAGTATGTGCAGGCCCTTCCAGCTCTGATGGACTAGGCCGACTCTTTGCATAGGACATGTCCGTGAGACCACCTTAAATACTCTCTAGTCTCCTTCTGAAAGCCTTTAAAGTCTTGTGGGGAAGGGGAGAGGAGCCTGCGGGGGGGCACACCCCCGCCGGAACCACAGGCTCTCTGTGTCGGCTGGAGGCCTGTCCATTCCTGGCCAGCCAGGGTCTGGCACAAACGCCCACTGGACCGGTTCTTGTGGAAACCCAGTGGAAGTCACCGGGATGGGGGTCTCACCTGGACATCTTCCTGGGCCTGGTCCCGGTCTTCTCCTCCTTCCTCACGGTTTCCCTGCAACAGGACCCCAAGGGAGGGTCAGGGTCCAAACACGCACCTTCTCTGCTGGAGCGCCTTGCCCAGTCGCTGCGTCTCTGAACCCTTTTCCTAGCCTGTAACTCAGGACACTAAACTCGCCGCCACGCCCCCAGAGAAACCCCCCCAATGAGAGTTAAGAGAGGAAGTTGGCCGCAGGGCACGTAGCTCAGTGCCGGACACGCAGTGACTCCCAACACTTAGAGCCTAGTGTCTGGGCTTGGGGAATTCAAGAGACAGCGAAGGAAGCTCCCAGGGACAACATCGACACAGGCCCTCCATGTGCAGTGAGCTCGAGGCCCTAGTAATACCCAGGTGAGGGCTGCCAGGGAGGCTGCTGGGAGAGGGGGGCACCAATGCCACTTCTGAAAATGGAACGGGAGAGGGCACTGTGCAGGCAGTGACAGCCTGTACCATGGAGTTGCAAGCACATCTTCTCTGTCCCAGGAGAGGGCCCCTTACCGCCCTGCTGCTCCCTCTCGGTAATCCCTCTGGGCTCTGGAGGCGCGAGCAGAACTCACTCACCGTGGCCAGAGAAACGAGGATCCTCTTGAAGTGGCCGGACGTGTCTGAGCTCAGAGCATCTTCCAGGGACTTGTGATAGTCTGAGACAGAGAGAGAAGGAGTGTGGGGGCCATTGAAGACGTACAATTGGTTCTTGAGGGTGTCTAGTCTTCCTCCTGCTGACTCTGTGAGCACACTGACACCCCCACCAATCCATCGCCTCTGCCACCCCCTCTCCTACGACCCCATGTGGGGTCTATCCCCATCCTGCCTCTACCACGTGGCCTCCAAAGTCCCCTCCCTGTGTTCACGTCTCCTCCTGCATGGCAAAAGTTGGGCCCCACGGCATGGCTCTGACCGGGTCCTCCCTGCTCAGAAAGTCCTTGGGCGAGAAATAGCGAGTAAGCATGTTTGACCAGCACCGAGGCCCTTCAGAATGAAAACGTGGGCCCCTTGTTCGAATACTGTCAACCAGTCTCACAAAGCAGCCAGCAGAGCATAAAGCAAACCTGGGCTGAATCTGGGGGCCCTGGAGCTGCCCAGCCCTCGGCGGCCTGCTGGGATGCCCTCTTCCCACACCGGCAGAGCTCTTCTTTACCTCCAGGCCCACGTGCCACCCGGGCCCCTCTGCCTGGAGCAGCTGCTCCCCAGTGGGCACACCAGGGTGCTCAGCAAAGCCCTGTGGATGTGGGGCTATGGCTGGAACTTTACATCGAGGTCGGCACCCCCTCTCCTGTCCACCTCCCTCACTCACCCTCCTTATAGGCTTTATTGATGGCCTGGATCTCCTCATTGGTCCGAGTGGCCAGGATTTCGATGAGCGCCTTTTCATCGGTGCCGGCACCCTGGAATGACAGGCAAAGGGGACCTCAGCCCAGTCCTGACCCCGAGCCGAGGCGCAGGGGGCCCAGGCAAGGAGGCACCTCTTCCCAGAGCCACTCAGGAGGCTGAAATGCCTGGTCTTCCTAAGCATTCTCCTCATCTGCAGACGCAGCCCCCAGACCAGCTATGTTGACACAGCTCAATTTCCAGAATGTTCCATGAGAGTTACCTTGAACCTTGTGGGCAATGGAGTCATGTGTCGGTGCAAAGGAATACACACCACGTGAGAGACAGAATTTAACTTTTGGTCTTTGCCTTTGTTTCCTGGGAGATGACATGAAAAACACTTTGGAATGTTAAGGGTCTTCCAAAATGACCCAGCACAGAGCGGGGGTGGTGGTAGCAGGTGACCGACCGTCAGGCGGGCAGCTGGTGCCAGAGCTGACTGCGAAGTTAGACGTGAGGATGCTCCTTGGTGCTCGTCATTGCTCTTGTGCACACACATATCCGAGTACAGCTGTGTGTCCCAGTTGCTGTCAGGTGCACAGGGTCGCTGTGCCAGGCTCACAGTCATTGGCACAGCGCCCGGGTCTGTGCCCTCCTCACAGTCGTTCAAACAGTGCCCATCGTGGCAGCCACGGTCGGTCCATCTCATCGAGAATCTTCCTTCTCTTCACCGGCCTCCTGATTTTCCCAGCGTGATGTCCTTCTCCAGGGATCGGTCTCTCCTAGGAACATGTCCAATATGCGCCTCATGCTCCTGGTCTCCAAGGGGCACTCTGGCTGCCCTTCTTCCCAGACTGGTTTGTTCTTTGGGCAGCCCGTGGTGGTGCCGTCGGCGTTCTCTGCCAGCACCTTCAGGAGAATGTGCATGGCGATGACAGCTTCCAGGCGATGGCAGCCCATAGATGACTTGAGGTTCTGCCCCGTGGGACTTCCAGCCTCGGAAACCCCACACAGGGCCTCTGGGTGCTGGATGGAGCCAGGCATGGATCGACGCCATGGGGGTGGGCTGTGTTTTCCCCAGTGCCCACAGTTTCCATAAGTTACTGTCAACGAGTTCTGTGACCTCAGGGAAAACAGGCTAGAGTGTTGATGAGATGTGTTGATATTTGGAGGTGATGTGTGGTACACGGAATGATAAGGGCCACTAGCGGGCAATGATTAAATGCTTGGCTGTATAAAGGAGACACCCATAAATTGCCTTTGAACAAAACTGCCTGATTAACGTGACCTCGATTCCTGCTCAGGGAGGCAGTTAGGGTCCCTTTCCTGATGTGCCTGCCTGGGAATCCTGTCTACGCTGCCTTGTAAGCTCCCACTAGCTAGGTGAGTTAATTACCAGCAGCCAGAGAACAGAGAAGCACTGTCCCTCTTTAGTGATGTTAGGGTGTGCAGAAAATACAGTCTCAGGAATCCTGACAGGGCTGTCTTTCTATGAAGTAGGCCAGATGGCTATATCCCCATGCCAAAGATGCAGGAAGAGATTCGACAGGATCTTGAAGCTAGCCTTACCTGAACTTTCCCAGACTGCTTAGACAGTTTTGATGAACAAGCTGTTTTAGGAAAATGAGCCCCTTGGTACCGAGATGAATCTGCACACCCCTCAAAATAGCTAGCTAAAGCTAATAGCTGGTGTAAACTTCCAACAGGGATGTCTTATGGTCCCCTAAAAGGAACGGCACTAAGCTGAAGAGCCCGTCATGCATTCCTGAATCAATAACTAACTTCATCGCCAACCAACCAATAGAAGCCCTTTCCCTGGCCCTTGACTCCCTAGTTGTGACCTCAGCCCAAACCCAACCAAGTGAATAACTCTGTCTGTTTCCTGAACTCTGTCCATCTGTGTGAGCTGCTGAGACCGCTGATTGAGTTGCTACGACCCACACAGGTCTCAGGTTTGCAGTGCGTTTAATCAGGAGTAGCAGGCACCTCAATTACACGTGGCGCCTTAGGAAGCAAGGGCGCTCTCGGCACAGCCTGGCCAGGGGCTTGAGGCACTTCCTCTGCTCCTCTCAGGATCAAGTCGTTAGAACTGACAGTGTAGCTTTGTATGAGTGACCCTCCTCGGCCTGTCCCTGTCTGAAGGGCAGGGCCATGGTGCCCATTTCAGAGATGAAGACACAGAGGCTTAGAAAGCCCTCGTAACTGGCCCAAAGGCACACCATGAGGCAGCGACAGGGACGGAGCAGAATGCACACTCTGACTGCCTTGTTCTCCATCCGACTTCCTCCAATGGCTTTGCGGTCCTGGGGCAGGGCCCGGGTTAAATCATCCGGAGAGACTCTGAGGTTTGCTGGCACCCCAGGAAGGAAGAAACTCTTTTTGCTGGAGCTGCCGGTGTGGTGGTGGTCAGGGGCCTGTGAGTCTGCACCCATGCACAACAGAAAGGAGCATGGCTGGTCCCGTGCCTTCTGCAGCTTTGCTTGTTTGAGCTGATGGTTGTAGCCACTGTGTCATCCATCTCACTGGGGGGTCTACTTTTTTTTTTTTTAAGCCGACCCTCTATTTTATCAGGAGCCTAGGCGGTGAAGTGAGTTATACATTGGGCTGGTAACTGCAAAGTCAGCAGTTCAAAACCACTGGCCGCTGTGAGGGCAAAAGATGAGGCTTTCTACTCCTATAAAGAGTTAGATAGAAAACGAGGAGCTGATACCAAAGGCTCAAGTAGAAAGAACATGCTTTGAAAATGAAGATGGCAACAAATGTACAAATGTGCTTGACACAATGGATGGATGGATTATGATAAGAGCTGTAAGACCCCCAATAGAATGATTCTAAAAGGAAAGAGAGTTAGAAATGTTTTGAAATTGTTGATAGCAGCATTTGTACATGTCCCCCTTGATATAATGGATGTATGGATTGTTATAATTTGCTTAAGAGCCCCCAGTAAAATGATTTATTAATTAAAAAAGAGAAGAAAAAGAGTGACACTCTTGGAAGCCCACAGGGGCACTTCTCCCACACGACAGCATCGCCAAGTAGGCATCAACTGGATGGCAATGAGTTGCTGAGAGTCCTCTACTGGGTCACTTGTGAGCTAGCTTGTCACACTGCAGTGGGTGCATGTAGCCATGTCTCCGGGACGTCAAGTACCAGTCGGGCCAGGGTGGCAGGGTGCAGTGGAGGTTCCAGACCAAGACAGACAGGAAGAAGGCCCTGCCCATGGACTTCTCTAAAAACCCTGGCTGGGGCAAGCCTTGTGAAGAGCGGCCGCAGAGTGGACGCGAGCTGGAAGAACGCACAGCATTCCGTGAGGGTCAGGGGCTCGCTACCCCAGGGGTGCGGCCAGCCGGGGTGGCGTGGGCCGGCCGCACACTGCTGCACGCATAACAGGATGGATTGACAACGACCCCCACTTGTGTTTCGCGAGTGTGAATCAGCTGGGCAAGGGGTTCTACCTGATTTACACCCTCCTCACAGCCCTTCCTCCCCCCGACCTCAAGGAGACCGGACCCTCCTCATTGGCCATACCTCCATGGCCTTCTTCAGCTGCTTGGCATCGTAGTGGGCAGGTGTCATCATGAGCCCCAGAATCAGCCTCGCCAGGTCTCCAGAGATCTCAGACTTCAGGTCGGCCATTAGGTCCTGCAAAGGGCGGAGCTGAGGTCAGGGCAATGCCCTCCCATGACCCCGAGCAGAAGGCATACGGAGTCAGCAAACTGGCTCCGAAACAGGATTACAGACACTGGGAAGTGGGTGCCTGCCCTGCTGATGGTTTCTCATTGTGATGAAGCCATGGGGGGGGGGGGGGGGTAGCCAGCCAGGAGGAGACCCTTTCTTTTAGAGCAAGAGGCAGGGCAGAGCAGGGGTGGCATCCCTGGGAAGGCTCACTAGTTCAGTGCAGATGCCTGATACCAGGGCACAGTGTCACCCACGCTCCGCCAGGACCCTCAAGCTCAGCCAGTTGTCTGCAGGGGGAACGGTGAGAAGCCAACCCCGTGGCTCCATCCGTGGGCGTCTAGGCTCTGTGGCATGAAAACAACCCCGATTCCTGACCGTGGGCCAAAGCCGAGCCTCCCACTCAGCCCAGCCGCCTCCCACGGGGCTGCTGAACCACAAGGAGCTGGGGCCATGGGAAGGGGGGTTTGCACGCTGCCCTCAACCTAATGCTGGAGACCCTCCAAAGTGACCTCCTGGGGCCCACAGCCAAGAAGACCCCGGTGGCCAGCAGGCAGAGCTGGCTGCAGCTGGGCAGCCTCCATCAGGGGAGGAGCCCGGCGGAGGCTCTTACCCGGCCAAAGTGAGACTTGAAGGTCTGGCGGATCTGCTGCCGCTGGGCGTTGCTGCGGTGCGTGACAATGTCGATGATGGTGCCCTCGTCAGTCCCTGAATGAACAGAGCCACACGGCTCAGACACCAGCCTGCTCCAGTGCCCCAAGCACCCCGCACCAGCCTCCCATTAGCCCTGGTGAGGGTAGAAGCCTGGCTGAAGAGCCAGGCACTCCCAGGGCCCCTCAGGAGCCCACCTCCAGCTCACTGACGGACCCTGGGTCCCCCCTACCCTTCTTGGACTAGGTGCTGGTTGAGCAAGGGGCCTCCGGGGAATAGATAGCACTGAGCAAGGAGCCAGTGCTCCGGAGTTCTGCACTCAGACAACAGCTGTTGCCCTTGGATGAGTCCCTTCCCTCTGAAGGGCTGGGTCTCCACATCTCACCGGAAGAGGCTGGACCCGGAGTATGTGCGCAAAGGTTCTTCCCACCCTGAAGATCTAAGTCCTGTTAGGGACCCTATGCCCTGAAAACGGACCACGAGTCCCTCTGTCCACACAGGTACACTCTTGGAAGTGCTAGGGCATCCCGTCCTGCCTCTCAGGTAGCCCATCTGCCTCACACCCAGCACAGGCTCCATCTTCCACAGCGGCTTTGTGTCCTACTTGTGCTCCGTAGGTGCCATTCCCTGCATGGGGAGAATGAGGCCTGGGAGGGGAAGGGCTGAACCTGGGGCCTGAGAACTGCAGTGGGACAAGCTGGGGAGAAAAGACAGTGGAGACCACACTGGGAATCCTGTCCTCAGCTGGCCTTATGGAGTTGGGTAGAACCCCCCCCCGCCATCCCCAGAGGAGCCTCCTCCCATTGAAGGGTGCTCCTCCTGGTGACAGAGGTCTGCGCAGGCTGAGGAGTGCTCCCCACACCCAGAAGTGGGGCTTTGAGATTCCCAGAGTGCACAGCCTCATTTCATGCCTAGGGAAGCGGAGACCAGGAAGGGCTGAAGGACATGCCCATGGTCACACGGTGAGTCCGTGGAACAAACAAACAAAACCACGAAGCTCACTGCCCTGGAGTCAAAGCTGACTCATAGCTGGCAGGGTGAAAGCCCAGGCCTTCGATCCAGCGTCTTCTTAGTCAGCACCTGGATGCTGTGGCCAGGGTTGGGGTGTGGGGCGGGGGTTGGGGGCCAGTGGTTTTTGGAAGTGGCTTGTGTTAAGTTCTTACAGTCCCTCTCCCTCTCTGCCCTCTCTACACTGGGGGTGTTGGAGGCTGCAGACTCGGGATAATCCTGCAGACCCAGGTTTGAGCCTGCCCCGCACCCAGCCTGCTACCCACGTGCCACCCTGTGCCCCTTGCACATCCTCACCAATCCCCTTCATGGCCTTCCGAAGGGCTTTGGCATCCTCATCAGGGTTGAAAGCAACAGCCGGGCGCACAGTTCCCTTCAGCTGTGAGAAAGCAAGAGGAGACTCAGCAGGTGTCCGGGCTCCCCGCCCCCCGGGGGCCAGGCCAGGAGAGGTGCATGCAAGTGGGGGCCTTTCCCAGCGAGTCCCAATCCAAGCAGCTTTGAGGAAGAGGCGGGGGCTGAAGGCACAGCAGACAGAAAAACCCCTCCACCAGAGCTGAGAAGAAGACACACGCACACGCGGGCTGGGAGCAGGGCAGGCAAGAGGCCCAGGAAAGGTGGTCCAGCTCCTGCCCCAGGAGTCAGGCAGCTGGGTCCTCACCTGCCCTGAGCAGCCCAAGCCTATTAAAGAGCTACTGTCCTGAAAAGGTACTAGGAATGTTCTGAAACACCAGGGCAGAGTTTCCCAAATTTAGATGCTCCTGAATGACATTAGCAATCAATTCCACAGTCCTGTAAGCCCTATGATGTTGTTTTATGTTTTTGTTGAATTCAACAGTTTTTCTCTTTTACTTAAGTGCCCTCATTCCCAAATGCATTTAAATAATCCCAGAAAATTATGTTTTTCCCCCTTTTTCCAGTTTTGTCCATTAAAATATCCCAAGTACTGACAACAGTGCCTGACACAGAAAGCGCTCAAAAAATATTTGTTAAGGGATCTGATGGCTGACAATTTTCCATACCACGCTCATGAATAGAAAGGATGCCCAAGGGTGCTGTGGGTATAAGCACTAGGCCGCCAATGGGAAGGTTGACGGTTCAAATCCCACAGTCACTCCTCAGAAGAGAGATGAGGCTGTATGCACCTATACAGATTTGTAGTCTCAGAAACCTTAAGGAGCCGGCCTGCCCGGCTCTATGGGGTTGGTAGGAGTTAAAGTTGACTCGCTGGCCATGAGTTTCGGTTTTTCAGTTATCATGATTAGGAAAATCCGTATCAGGTGCCATGTGCAGATTGTAGCTCATGAACAGAAATGTGATACAAACAAAACCTCGTGGTCCGGGCTCACTGACTTCAGCACGATGATGTCACTGCTGACCCTGACCTTGGAGTGAGCGCTCCCTTTGTGGAAAAACAAAGCCAGCAGGTGTGACAGAGTCCATGATCCCGAAGGCTGCGGCCTTCATTGCTTACGCTATCTGAGATCACTTACACGACGGTTCCTGCCATATAATCTGGGAAACACTGTCCTAGAGCACTGGGGCTCGGGAACCCTCGAAGGTCACATGTAACACCTCCATTATAAAGAGGAGACGCAGAGGCCTGGGGAGAGGGGCTGGTTTGCGAAGGTTGCCCAGCTAGTGAGTATCAGAGAACCCGAGGACCCAGGCCTTTACCAGGACCAAGTGCTACCAGCCCACGGCGTGGTTTGCTTCAAGTGCCTCTGTGACACCGTTCAATCCCTCCTTTTTGGACCCAGGGTCCCCTGATGCTCAGGAGGGGTCCCCCAAACCCTCGAGGGCACCTGCTGCTTGAGCTCTCATGCCTCTCCCAACTTCAGACCCAGGATGGGACCGGGCCCTCCTGGGAACCAGGCACATCCCCACTCAGCAAGCTGGGTTAGTGGACAAGAGGCCAGAGCGCTGCCCAGCAGGTTAGAAGTTAATGCAGGAATCTGATGCCCCCACGAGCTCCCGCCCCCACATTCAACAATCACTCGGGAGAAAAGGAAGCTTCAGAGGTGAGAGTCAATGTCTCTGCTTGGCCACCAGGGGGCAGCTGGGGGCCAACCAGAGCAGCAGCAAGGTGAGGGCAGCAGAGTGGAAGCCCTTTGGTCAGAAGGTGAAGCAGGAGGTGGGGAGGGTCTGACCTCTACTCGGGCCACTGCACTAAGCTCCCACATCTGATAGGCCACCTGCGCTGCCTCCGGGAAGAACTGGCCAGCAGCACTGGAATGGAGGGGTTGGGGAGAGGATAGGAAGGAATGTCATGGTGGCCAACACTCCCAGGTAGC